TATATATATATATATATATATATATATATATATATATATATTCTGGGAAAACAAAAAACAAATGGCAGCTCAAATAAATAAATATCATCATATTAGTTTTGTATTGAGGCAACTTATGCAATTTATAATTCAGAGACAATAGAAAACATTCAGAATCAGACAAGATACTTAAAGCCTTAAAAGTAAAGCTGCAGCGACACGGCCACAGGCAGATAAATATGATTATATAATAATCATCATTATTATTTAAATTAACTGGTTGCCATTACTGATATTAAAAATTAAAGTGACATTGTTAGGTTTTAGCTGCAGGTGCACATTTATTAATACCACGGGAAAATAGGAACATATCCATCAAATTTTTTTTTAAAAACACAATTTAATGATATTTATTGATGAAAATGAGCAAAAGCTGTTGAGAAATAAACGAGTGTGTTGTTGCTTCAGACCCAGAAACTCACGGAAGCAACAACAGACGTGTTTTCACCTTCAGCTGTGGTTACTGCACCTGTACTGGGGAAAGAAAGGTGTTGCATGATAAGAGCTTCTGATCCACCATCACGTCTGGATGGATGGTCCGGCAGAGAACGAAGTGAACTCTGAATGAAACCGGCCCACACCACCCGTCACCTGTGGCAGCCATGTTGAGATAAAACTCGACTCGAAGCTCCCACAACGTGACTCCGACAGCTACAACGCCGGCAATCAGCGGCTCCATCACGCTAAACTGCACGTGAGCGTGACGGCAGGGACGAGAGAGGATTAACACCAAATTATACCTGAGGGAATTGAAGCAAAATTATGTTTCCAGTTTTAATTACACTAATGCATCAAACACAGACATTAAGCCTTTTTTTCCACAACCATTTAATTTGCAAACACCCATTTTATATATATATATATATAAAAAAAAACTTTGGTTGTGCCATCATCAGAGATAAAACCCAACAGGTTTGATCTGTAAATTAATTTTTAAAGCTGAAATAAGAAAGGCACATGATAAAAACAATTTAGACAGTGCTTCAAACTCCTGACAGCATTTCTATAACAGTGACGACAAAAACAAACGAGAATAATACTAAAAGCTGACATGAACCATCCAGCTCTCTTACACACACACACACACACACACACACACACACACACACACACACACA